AAGGAAGAACCACAGTAGTCATGGACAAAGAAGAATACACCAAGAAAGCTGAACAACTAGTCAAAGTTGAGAATGTATATCAGCAACTCACAACAAATCCCATCCAAACATTAGACAACCACATCCAAAGAACCTTAAGCAAGCTCAATAAAACAGGTCGTCTCTCAAAAGAAGACCAATGGCTAATGAAATCCAATGGACCAGTTCTAGCCCAATTCTATGGTAGGCCCAAAATAAACAAACCGAATATCCCGTTACGACTAAATGTATCACTTCCAGGAACCTCAACATACAATCTGTCCAAAGAACCATATAGAAAATTAAAAGACATAACGGATTCCTGCGATCACTCCATCAAATCTGCAATCCAATTTCTAGAGAAAAACAAAGCCATATTGTAACAACAGAAGACAAGGGCCAGGCAACAAAACGTTTATTTCGTAAAATCAACACGTATTTATAGATTTTGATGTACATTCTTGTAGGTTAATGTTAGTAGAAAATACAGTCTGTTGATTGGTTGTTTCTCACACAAAGTTAACCTTGCATCTCTTGTGGCTGTGTCAGTTCATCTATATGTTAACAGTATCCGCCAGTCCACCTTGACCTTTGACCTCAATTACTGTCAACCAATTTGGCTAGCGACCATCTCTCACCACAATATAAATAGATGACTGAGAAATAATCTTACTCTTCGCTGTCACAGCATTATTTTCCTCAAGTGGACAGAAACTAGCAAAAGAGACCATAGAGCAGTTACACGGCAACGACGAACACCTCCGAAAAAATCAAAAATGCAACACACAAGTTGGATGGAATGCATAAACCATTGCCTAACAACGTACTTCCAGTTCAACGGCCAAATACATTTCGAATTTATAGGAGCACCTATGGGATCATCCATATCAGGTTTGATTGCATAAGCTATAATGTGTAAGGACTCGAAAACATAATCCTACCAAAGATCATACCTAAAATTTGGACAAGTTACGTAGAGGACACACTCGAAATAATCAAAAGAAACGAGCTGGATAAAATTCACAACTTAATAAACAACGTCTTCAGCGACATTAAATTTACAAGAGAAGAGGAATCCGAGAACAACATCACATTTTCGGACGTCTTAGTCAAGCGAAAAATCACAAGAAAATTAGAAACTGAAGTCTATAGAAAACCAGCTCACTCAGATCGATTCATCAATTACAACAGCAACAGTCCAATAACACACAAAAAGAATTGTATACAAACACTATTCAAGAGAGCCATGACTCATTGCAGCACTCCTACCCTAAGGAAAATTGAAGAAAACTATTTCAAGCACGTCTTCCGAAAGAGTGGATATACACAGAACTTCATCAAAATACATCTACCCCTAAGCCGACCTATCAGTTAAAAGGCACTCAGGAAAATTTCAAAGAAAAAGCCCCTTCCAAAGATATAAGACAACTCTTGAATCAATCTAAGCGCCTTCAAACCTTTAGGAACTGCTGTCACACACCAACCAGCAAAATCACCTCACTTGGCCGGCTCTGCGTCAACCAAAGGACTCAATAGCGATAGAAGACAAAACCAACATCATCTGAAAAATAAGTTGCGAGGACTGTGAAGAACACTACATTGATCAAAGTGGACGTCCTCTTCGTCTTCGTATCTATGATCACAAACTAGCCGTCAAAGGACATGACATCCACTCCCTCATATCGCCTAACTACATACAGACAACCACGGACATCAATTCGACTGGGACAACGTTCAGATATTAGACAGAAGAAATACCGAGAACGCCAGAGAGTTTTTGGACGCCTGATATTCCAGTGAATGTTGCAATTAACACGCACATTGACATACACAAAATCTACCAATCGATAAGAAGGAAATCTCACACAAAAGATCGAAATTCAGGTCAAGAAAACAATCAATACCAATACAAGTAGACTAGAGAGGGTGAAAACAAACAAAAACAATCAGTTTCACCAGGAGAGATGACTAATGAACTCACGGAGAAATATGAAAGCTGACTTCAATTTGAAACATGAGTTCAAGATGTTGGCTAGTAATACAATGAACGCTTCCCAAGAAAGCCATTGAGCTCAGAGGACACCACTACATCAAAATCATCCACCTTAGCTGCAATTCTATAATTGTACAACCTGATGAAGAGAAGGTTGTCGAAAAGAATATTCTTTGTTCAATAGTAATCAGTCTTTTGAAACTGCTAATAGGCAATTTTGATCAACATGAAGTCGAAGGAAATCGGATCTTCAACAAGATGAAAAACTGGCTAGTACAGTGATTGTTGCAGGCCCCCAAATAGATAGTGGTCAGCTTTTGACATGTTTACATTGTAAAAGTCAGCATAGGTATATTTATTGATTTCTACGGTGAACGCTTCACTTACATGTGACCATTTCTCCCTTTCGCAATTTTTAGGTGAATTAAGTAGAAAAGAAAACTATGAAGTAGGAGAGTGGATTTTATTTTTAGCTGAAAAAATGATTTATGCGTATCAAGGCAGATTTATTTCCCTGCTATCTGTCACCAACATTACTTTCCTTCCTTATGATTTTAAATCAGAATTGAGACACTAGTCAGATTGAAATAACTGATGAAATCAGACACGCATATGAAAACAGACACCAGTCAACTACTATTGACTGCTGTCAAGATCGTCACGATCATCATCCTGCTTAATCTGTAGAAATATATGCATCTAGTTCATTGGAAGTTTTTCATTCATCTGAACTTATAGTGTCTCGAGCAGTCATATTGAAATTTATAGACGCTTATATGACAGAAAACTGTGCTTGATATTGGAATGCAATCAATGAGAGATTGAAACAGAGATTTTCAGCTCAAGTGAATGATTTTGATTCAGTGGCTGAGATGGTTGATTTAACTGAGAAGCTTTCGTCGTCTTTCCCCCCTCTCATCTTCTAGACAACATTCCCCTTCAGAGCAGGTTTTTAGTATAAGTTGAACTCATTTGAATTCTCCATGAACGATAATGTAATTTTGTCTCCTGATATCCACTGTCTTGATTGTTTGTTAATTTACATATCTATTGTTCATATTTTTATTGATTTGGAATTCGAACTTTCTTGTCATGTGATTTACTCTTCATTGGCTGGTAAATTTGATCTATAGTAAATTGTTTGTTAATCGCTGATTCACTCGAGTACCAGGCTTCTAGAAATTCTCCGGCACTTTTGGTGTGCGCTCTAATCGAAATTCCTATATTATTCCGATCATCTCATTGGTGTCCGTAATTATCTGCATGCATTGATAGGAAAGGTTATTTTTACAGCTAATTTGTGTTCTTGGATTCGAATTCAAAGGCGACGCCTAATTTCACCAGTATAATGTTTATGGCTGTTCATGCATACAATTTATTTTGTAAATGGTATTCATAATTTGATCTTCCTTTCCTGTTTGATCTTTTGATTTGGACACTACTGAATGAAGTGATCGGTGAATTTTTATCTAACTCATCTTTTGTGGCATGATAGGACTTGCAGGAACATTTCTTCTTTTTAATGGAACTGCTTGTATCACCGAGGTATTCAGATACAACAAACATGCCAAGTTGACACCTTCTGAAGTGTGCTCACTCAAATAGTCGTCTGTAGCTCCGTATTGCCAGTTTCTAAAAACTACTTCATATATAAGACTAAAGCCTTATTACCTGGTTCACTGCCAGTTGAATCAGTGAAATGTTAGTTTACAGAAAGCTGAATCACTGACAGCCTCATGTAATCTTCTGCTTTGAAGTTGTGGATAGTGATTTCATTTGAATCAGGAGGGAATGCGAGGAATTTAAAAATACAAAAAATATTGAGCAAAGAATATTCTTTTCGATAATTTCTTCTTCTAGCTCTACAATTATATACATCCTTATGTACACAGAATATTCTCGAATAATGGTCATTAGCAATATTGGTGTTTCGTTTAAAATACCATCGATTTTTCAAGACCACAGTGGAACTACCACAGTTCAAGGAAGATGCATAAGATATAACAAGCATAAAAATGTATTAGTAAATAGAATATCATATAAAATTAAGGAAATTTCCACAACAAATCAAGGATCATTAAAGCCTTGATAGCTATGGGGCTAAGGAAAGCGTCTGAACACACCAACTTCTTTTGGTGTTTAGATTAGGTTTCTTAATGTAGATCCCAGCAGCCTCAGCAACATATAATAGACGAAATCTTGAGGTAAAATTAAGCTTAGCTGGTATGCAGTAGATGACTTTGAAAGCCTCGTTAACATCAAAAGTGTGCTCTGTATCCACGAGATGAGATAGAATAGAGCTATGAATGGATTTTGTTTCTCCCTTACCTAACCGATATACAGGATGGTTTTCGGAAATCCGACGGTAAACACGCCCAACTACATGGACTATGCAAATAACTGGCTCACTCCCCAGGAACAGTCAAATTGACAGATTCACATTAAGGGAAGAGGCGAAACTGAAGAGGTTATCTTCAATTACTCCAGAACGCAAAATGAGAAGTTGGTTTTGAAGAGACAACACCACTTCAGAAGCACTGAATGCTGTTTTTACAGCCGTGTTCCTTGGACGTTGTGTTAATATCATCACCAAAGAAATGAAGTTGTAGGAACAAGGCCTTCCTTTCTCAGAATTGTTGATTGGCACTTTGCTATGCCTTGACTTCTGATTCATATTTTTATCAATGAATTTTTCTGAGTAACCGTTCTCACTCAGCAACTGTTTAATAATATTAAGCTCTTCATTAAGACACTCATCAGAGCAGACTGCTCTGTATTGCTCTGTGGCGGACCAAGCACTATATTAGATCGCGTTTGTATTTCAAAGGCACGAAGCTGAATAGATGAGTATACTGACCAGTTGATGTAGGTTTTCTATATACACTTTTATTATTGTACTGTGTTCTTTTCATTGAACATTTTGAAAACAATTAAGCTTTCATAATTCAGTCCGACATGTTTTTGTTTTTTTATTCTCATCACATTTTAGCACAGAAATGTTTGGATGCAGTTGTCCACATAATACTGGCATGTTAGCGTCTATTCCAAGTGTTAATTTTCTCAGAAGGAATCAAAGCCACTCACGGGATAGTCAGAATCAATCAAGTGTTGAAAGTCATGAAACTAAGGATACGAAGATTCATGGATTAGTACCACAGAGTTTACAAGAACTTCCACAATGGTATTTTTGTAAAGCAATTATAGGTAAGTTTGTAAGGCAAGGAGTATATATCATTCATGAATTTGCTTATTTTAACTGATTAGTTAAATTTATGTCCCGTTTACTAAAGAACGCACAAGTTGAATGTCATTTCTGATGAATTTGTGAGTAAATTTTAACCTTCACAAGAAATGTGCCTCTAAACTTAACCAAAATTCAACTGAGAAATCAATTAGCGAATTAGTATGGAAGCAGAGTTATTGTATTTTAACGCGACATAACCAAAAGAACTAATCTTATCACACTTACTATAGCCTGTATTGACCTGTGACATTACATCGGTTACTCTACGATGTGAAGATATCCACGTTAATTGAATGAGAGTCATTAACGTGAGTACAACCGAAAGTTAAGGCTGTTGATGTTGTTTGGAATGACAGTGAAAACCATGCAATTGAATCACGTAGTTGAATGAACTCAATTTTTGGGTTCCGAGTGAAACATAGGGCTTCAACAAAGCCCTTCAACTTTGTTCTATTTTTTACTATCCTCTTCACCTCAGTCCACGATTGCCCATAAGTTGTCATCTGCTCCTCCTCCTCCTCCTGACCAACACACGATTTCCTCCATGTCATACTCGTACTGACAACCCACTCGTCGCTTCCTATAGGCATTCCACTCGAGTGATAGCCTGGAGGATGATGTCATTCGATGGCCTCCTCAGTGGCGCATGTCCAATCAGTCTCAAATTTGAGAACACAATATTCAGCGAAGAGACTCTCTTCAACAACGAATTTATTATCAAGCTGTACAATCGCATATATATGGTTTTCCTTAGGAGAATTATATCCGGTGAGGGAATAAAATCAAAGGTGTGAATACATGAAATAATAATAGTAGTAGTATGAAATGCAATTAAAATATTTGCGATTATAATCATAGTTAAATGCCAAGTAGCAAAACAATTAATGTCATTTATAGAATAATTCATAACATGTAAAGATGTTGGAAAGGGGTCAGAAGGCTAATAAAATGTTCCATAATATGGTGCGAAATTTGATAGGATAGAATTCAATGTAGTTAAACATTTTTGATTTATAATGACAAGTGGAGACAATTCAAGGTGAGAATAGTAGTAATAGGAATAATGATAATAAAATAATAATCGGAGTAATGAGGTAAAGGTACATAGGATAACTAAATAAACAAAATAAATAAATAAATGTCTATCCCTTTATGGCCAAGGCAGAATTGGGGATTGTACATACTTCTTTTGTACACAAAAGTCCGTCTGGCTTAAATTAATGAATGGTCAAGGCCTCCGCTGTCTTTAGAAGTCTATAAAGAAGAAAACGCGACCGGCAAGGTAGCAAGGATTCGGTAGACTATCTTAGAATCATTGTCAGGGTTGGTAGAGTGACAGGAGGCGATCAAGTGTTCTAGAATAGAGCATCGTGCACACTTCCTTTCTCTCTTGTGAAACCACGCTGCTAGAATATGTTCTGGTATCCATGACTGGAAAGACTTCTCTGACTACGGCCAATGTACCTTATTCCATAAGAGCAGGTAAGCTGATAGAAGCACATGGAGGCGGCTAGACGAGGGAGCTTAACGCTTACAGAGCTGGGGAAAAAGTTGCGGCTGGTAAAGGTCATTTGTAATTTTGCTGCAAAGAATGTTTCACCGACTAATTTAGAGAGACCGTTTTTGAGCATATCTGAAGCTTGGTCACCTTTGAATTCCAAGTTCATGAATAAGGTTTTCTTTGGAATTGAGTCGGTGACCAGTTTAGACTGCTTATCTTTCGTGTTTTTGTCAATAAATCGGTTCGGGTAACCGTTTTCTGCGAGCGTGGCTTTTAGGAAATCAAGTTCTGAGTGAACGCAGTCAGAACTAAAGCAGATTGAATAAAATTAGGTTCCTTTTACTGGAGATAGGCTCCCAACTATAAAAATTAGTTAGTTGTCAATTCCATGTACATTTCCGATGGATGGATCTTTTGAGAGATCCGTAAAGAAGGATGGCAGTTGTTGAAAGCAAACAAGACATCATCAAGAATTACGTCCTTATCGCAGATAACGAAAGTGTCACCTACGTATCTTCTATAATTGCCGAAATGACTAATGGTTTGACTAAGTTACGAGTTTTCAAGCTTTGCCATAAAACAATCAACCAGCAAAGGATCCAGTGGTGATCCCATTGCAATGCCATCTCTCTGTCTAAAAATCTCATTATTGAAGGTGAACTGAACATTCAACGTGCATCTCAATAAAAGTTCTTTAAGGTGGATTGTCGGCAATCCTATTTCTAAACTATGTGTATCAGTATAATCATGAGAGGTACACTGGTAAATGGCGACGTCATATCTCCTTTTTCTCCTACATATTTTTTGAGCTATTGGCTCCTGGTTGGTTTGTTCATCGCTAGAGTTTCTTGTTACTAGTAATTTTTAGTGTATCTTAGTGTAATGGATGTTTGATGATTAAAAGTACCTTTAGGTAGCCTATTTTGGAGGGGAAGGTCCGCCTTTCTTGAGTTTCCCTGATTCATATGTGCCCAGTCAAAAATTCTAACAGATAATTTAGCTACTGTTAAATGACGTAAGGAGTGGAGACTTATAAGCCTATATTTTCTGCATAAACTTCCGTCACATATTTTGTAAAAACCTGGTTAATGAAAGTGAAGTGAGATAGTAGAAAATTAATGTAAGTGTAGAATTTAGGCACTATGGTAGGATGCAATTCTATATTAGATAAATTTATTTTAAATATCATACAGTGATGAGGCGGTATTAACAACTGGATGACAAGGTTTCCAGAATAAATTATTATTCCCACTCGTAATCATATATTAATTTTGCTCACACAGTTTCACAGTTTGTTTTACATGTTTCATCATGAATTGACATCGGTTAAAGAACAATTGGAAAACCACCACTTGAATACTGAACAGCCAGTTGTTTCGTCAGCCTACTTCAGGATTGTTCATAAGTATGCATCCACCTCACTTCAAGGATTCAAATCCAGAACCACCTTCCAGGTAAAAGGTGAGCGTGCTCATAGATCCTTCATTCAGCCAATGGGATCTGCCAACCCGATGCCGACTGGCCCTTGAATTCCAACTTGTGCCAATTCCCGCATGACATAGCGCGACTGGCACTAGCCAATTTCATCAGTGGCGAGTATCTGCCCTCACACTCGACCTGCAGTTATCTCACTGTTGATTGAACGATGACTGGCAGTGAAATCAAGCGCCCACATTTACTTCCTATTTTGGTAACGGTTGTCTAAATGTACCCGTATCTCCACTGAAATTCAGGCACCGAAGTGTTACACGATATTGCCACCTAGCTACAAGAACCATACTTTGTGCGACTAGTACAACATTACAATTTAGGTGGACGTAGAATAATTGACCCTGATAAGTTAAATGACCAACCATTGCATTGCATTCACTTGCCTGTAATCAGATACACCGTAGGTTGGGTGGGACATGGTGAACGTATTAAAAATTACATAGTTAGTTGAAGACAGAGAAAGTTTAATCACTGTAGCTTCTTTCATCTATTCAACACCGCACACGTGCAACAATCGGAATGAAGCAACACCTATATTCGAGGTGTGGAAAGTGGCAACAAACAACACGGGGGAAGTTGGAGTGATAGAAAGAGAGGAGATATATATTAGACAAATTGTGAAACCATGTGACTAAAATTGATATTATTATTACTGTTTCCTTTAGTTCCTAGAGGAAAACAGGGCTTCAGTGGCACGTCTCCATTGCGTTCGGTTCTCTGCCAACGTTTTCACCTAGCTCCACGTCTGCCTACATGCTTTCATCTCCTTTTCACACGACCTCCTCTATGTCAACCTTGCACTGACGACCAACTAACTCGCTGCTTCCCATCCAGGGTCCACTGGAGCAATGGCCTGTCGTGTGATGTCACTCACCTGATGGTTTTCTCAGAGTATGGCCAATCCGCCTCCACTTCTTCTTGCTTATTTGTTGCACAGTCGGTTCATGGTTGGTTCGCTGATCTATTCTGTGACCTTGAGCGAAATATTGAGCGAAGACAGCTGCTTATGAAGGTCTGTAGTTTGTTTGAGGTACTATTCATGATACGCCAAGTCTCTGATCCGTATGGTAAATAGCACTGCATGAGCAGACATCGGTTAAAGAACCATTGGAAAATCTGTGAGTACTGGACAGCCAGTGTTTCCGTCAGCCTAGTTTGGGACTCCTCTTCAGTACGCACTCAGCGACAGGGTTTGAACTCAGGACCTTCTCGTTATAAGGTGAGATAGCTCGCAGACCATTAAGCGACTGGGACCGGATTTACTGGCCAGTCCATGAATTCCAGCTTCTGCCAATTCATGCACGACATAGTGCGACCGCCAGCCAATGTCATCGCTGGCGGATATTTGTCCTCACACCCAACCTGCTGTACACTACTGGTCATGACTTCTCACTGCAAACCCAGGTAACTACCTAAATGAATACGGCGCTAGTGAGCACCTCACTGATATTCAAATTTTGGTTTTCATACATATATAACTAATGTCTAGGATGCAGTCCCTGCTTCAAAATATTTGGCAATAGAAATTAAATCCACAAGATGTTTTGTGATGAATACTATTAATAATAAATACTTTTAATATTCGTCGACAGTATGTCGTATAACACAACATCATTCCATATGAAACAAGACTCACTCCCCCGTGATATTTCTCATTCTGTTTCTTCTTGAAAGTTGGGGGTCAAGCAAAAAAATTGTGTGCGTTCATTTTGACTTACAAGCAAAAACCGACAAACTGGTCGAAGAAGCAGCAAAGACAGGACTCAAGGTGAACATAGACAAGACGGAGGTTATGAAAATAACCATCTAACCAACAACAACAACAACAGCACCAGCAACATCCAGCGCCAATCACCATCAACTGGAGGGATTTGAAAGAGGTTACTTCATTCACTTATCTAGGGAGCATTGTCTCAACTACAGGAGAAACGGACGAGGATGTCAAATCGAGAATCGGGAAGGCGAGAA